TCATGCTATACGTACAACCAAAAAAAGATTTTGTATTTCCATAAGTGGGGTAAAACTATGGAATAATTTAAGTGTGGACATAAAAAATAGTAATAGAATTGACGAGTTTAAACATAAATATAAAGGTATGTGTCAATCAAGATATATGCAAGAACAGGCTCAATGATTAACCAGATGGAACATTGTGGGTGTGGTGTATGAATGTTAACACTCTGTAATAATTCTGTAGTATATTACTTGTGTGGTGTAGAGGATAATTATTTATCTAGAGATATTGCTTAGGACTTAAAAGTTGTAAGATGATGTCATGGGGTAGGACTAGATAAGTCTAACTTCTTCCTACTCCATTCAAGCATGTACTAGGTATAAGCAAATTGATATTGGATTATTATTGTTGGATATGTGTGAAATTACATGTGTTGACATATCAACTGTTTTACATGCTTGAATGAATAAATCAAATCAAATCAAATTGTTACATTTTCAAATGTAAAACATCGTATTTCAAACTAAATTCTTGCACGCCATCCAGTCTTTTCTGTAGGTGAGTAGGATAGAAGAAGCAGCAATGATGAGCAGTGTCTGAGATTTGTCTCGTTTTTGTCTAAATGTAAATGTCAGCAAGGGAGATGCAGATGTTTAGGAAACTAAAGCCCTGGAAATATACAAATAAAAGTGAACAACAAAGTAATAAGACTACAATCTGTCTATCGAAAGATTTTTAAGAAGAATATCTCATTACTAACGCTATGTCATCGTGTTTTTAAGAATTCCAACATACAAATATTCTTAAAACCAAAATAATTTGTAATGGTGCACTGTGTAGGCCTTATGTGATCTCTCATTGCTAGACAGCATGCATAGCATTATTCTTAACATCTCCTTGTGTGTGTTGCAATCTCTTACTTTACCTGCCGTCTGCACAGTAGCAGTGTGTAAGTACAGCATTTCACCATCCTGCAGGCTCCAGTTACAAACCTTCCCACTTCCTGTTCGTGAGCAAAAAGTCCCTAAGTGACTGTGGTGCATGTGTATAAAACCCTGAAGTAGAGAGAAACAGACCAGACAATTGCTGGGATCTTAACCAAGCCCATTGATACAACTTTTAATCTGCTGATTTCAACAGGTAAATTTGCTTCTCTTGTCATAGCTTTTATTTCTGTCTGTGACCATCTTAATCTGGAACAGATTACAAACAAGACACTTTAACAGGACAGATCTAATGTAAGTGGCCTTTTGTTTAAAGGACAGTTTTGTTAATAAAATCTATTGGTAAAGGATTTATTCTGTTGCCTTTAAATGAATCTCATAGATTATTTTTCCTCTCATTCATTGTGGTTACATATTGATGCAACACCAAACCACAGATCACTTTGTAGCCTTTACAACAGAAAGTAAATTATTGTATTATAAGGCTAAAAGTAAACCAGACAACGCAGCTGTATTTCCCTGAAGAGTTTCTCACTCAGTAACACTGGAAATACTTTCTGTCTTCCTGCAGCTCTTTTTTATTTCAGAAGAAGATGGCATCTGAAATGGCATGCAACGTTAGAGAGATGTGGAGCCCAAACTTGCCCAAGGGGCTCAACTTGGAGATTTCCTATCATCCAATGACAATGAGACGTGTGGTCAACCTCATTATTGCCACGGAGAGGCTGAAGTCCAGAAGGTCAGAGGCAGTGCTGAGCACCGCATTCAGAGATGAAAACCTGCTCAACATCATGCTGGAGAGCATAGTGGAAGGTAACCACACAACCGGCACCTTATGTCATCACTCTTGCATAAAAACATTTAGTTTTCTAGAGATTTATCTTCAATTAATTTTACTCACACAGTCAAAATTATTTTTTACTGGTCCAACGTATTTCAGCTTTAAAGTTCCTAAAAAGCAAAGTGAATCTATAGATACAGTATGAACATGAAAACGCTGCCATCTAAGTCCTTTTGTTACCATGTGGGGAAATATTTACTGACATTTTACCGTACCTTGTTGGCCTGTTTGCAGATACAGAGTACTTATTATTTTCTGTAACTGGAAAATAGCCCAAGTACCTGTAACACATCCACCCACACAGATATTTTCACTTTTGTGTCCAATTGAGTGGATGTGTCTTTATGGCACTGACATTTCTCTCATTTTCCTGTTACACCTTTAATAGTCTAACTACTTTCTATTGGTATATGCAGTTATCTACAATAACTGATCATTTGATTAAAGGAACACTCCATAAATTAGAATGACCATAATATGCTGTATATCTTAAGTCTGCAGTGATAAATTTGCTGATAAACAGTAGTAAGTTATTCAGTGAGGAACTCCGATTTCCAGCTTTTAAGAATGCAGTGTCTTGAGCAGGAAGGAACAGGTCTTTAGCTGCAGGGAAGGACAAGAACATAACTAATCAGGTGTGCATCTTGTTCCCTCAGTGCAAACTGTGTTCGAACGTGGTTCAGCTCCACCAAATCACTTCAGCAGG